CATGCTTTGGCTGAATTTCTTATAAGACTCTTTAATAAATTGGATTATATTTTAAATATGGCTTCGAAAAAGACTGCGCCCTCGATTGTAAAATATACATCTTCGATGGCTCAGACACCTCAGTCAACTTCAAAAACTTCCCACTCGTCACACCCTCCATCTTCGTCCTCACCGCCCTCTGGTAAAGAAATGCAGGATCAGATGGCCGCAACTATTAAGCAAATGACGGAGATGCTTCAAGAAATGGACGTTAAAATCCAAAACAGATTTGACCAATTATCACAGAAGCAAGATGATTTGGCACAGAAACAAGATGATCTTGCACAGAAACAAGATGATTTGGCGCATAAGCAAGATGATTATTGTTCTAATGTGGCAGTTGCCTTTAAAGGTTTGGCGGATTATGTTGATGTAATAGCAGAGAGGGTGGAGCAGAATGAGCAAAAAGCAGAGGGAAGTGATCAGAGACTTGAATTAGTAGAGGAGGGTCTGGAAAACGTTAGAAGTGATGTGCTGATCGCCCAATTTCGGGATATGGAATTTGCAATTCGGATTCGTGGTTTAGCTGAAGATCCTAAGGAGAATTTAAGACAAGTAATTGCAGATGCACTCGGGGATGCCTTATCGTGCGGCCAGGAAATCTATCTTGAAATAGAGCGTGTGTTTAGGGTAAACTCCTGGATTGCAAAGCAAAAGAATCTACCCAGAGACATTGTGATATATTTTACAAGAAAGTCTAGACGCAATGAAATAATGCAGCTTTTTTATCAACAAAGATTTAAAATTTTGAATCAAGACATCATTCTCTTAAAAGAAATTCCAGCAAAAATACTTAGAGCGCGCAGAGATTATGCTTTCTTGACACAGGAGCTGAAGCTCAGACAGATAAATTTTAGATGGGATGTACCCGTGGGCATAATTGTAACAATATATGGCAAACGCTATAGGCTTAATTCGATTAGCAAGGCTAAAGACTTCATGGCGTCTGTTCTACAATCAGAGCGCCCACCTACACCTCAGAGGGTTGAAGTGCCTGAGCAGATGATTGTGGATCTTCCTTTGGCCTCGGTTCAAGATCTAGATGAAAGCTCAAAAGCTAATGGAAAGGAGCAAAGAATCACGCGCGCAGCTCATAGACGCAAAGAAAA